GAAGGGACTGGCTTCAGTGTACAAGGTCTACTACATCCCCAAAGTTGATAGTGCTGCATAGCACTCCCAGTAATAGCCATTTTTGTTCCCCCCATTTACAGGATTAATAATAATAATAATTACAGAGATCTAGAAACACAGAGATAATTTTATAGACTACAGTGCAGAGCAGGTTGAAAAGTCTTCTAAAGAGTATAGGGTGAGTAACCACAAATCCGATTACACTTTATCTAGAGCAGGTTGGTTGCTTCTGAACATCTCACATGTCTAGCATCTTCTAGACTTGAATTAACCAAGAAAGGAAAGAAAGTTCTCTGAATTCTTTCTTCTCTGTGTAAGCTGTGTTGACATGACAATATTTTCTCAATGAAGCATTTTAAAGTTATGCTAAATATCATACTTCTAGCTGAAAATCAATGATATTTTTCCTTTCCTTTCTGTAATTTGCATAACATGTCTCTTGTGTCCTTTGACTCTGAGAAAAAAACATGCATGGACAAGTACATGCACGCGCACACACGCACACACACACACCAAAATGTTCACATAGAACAATAAAAGAAAGACTGTCATTGTTAAGAAAGACAGAAACAACCCATCCAGTACAGTACTTTTAAACAGTTTACACAAAGTATCAGTCTTCCAGTTTGGGTCAATTCATGTAATTCTTTCCATATTTACAATTATGCAAATAGAGCAATTCCATGAAAAAATGACAAAACAATAACCCTATCATTCTTGTGAGCAAGACATGTGAGGATCTACATCACTAGGATCAAGGCAGCTGTCTGCATATTTTTTTAATCTGCTTAAGATCTGGCTATGGGAACGTTATGATTAGTGTTTACAATTCAAAATATTGCAGTACATCAGCACATTACTGCCAAGAGGACATGGCTAGAGTAATTTACAGTAGAAGGTAAAGGTAAACGCAAAGGTTCTCCTTGACAAATGTCTAGTCGTGTCCAACTCTAGGGGTGCTCGTCACTGTTTCCAAGCCATAAAGCCAGCGTTTCTCTGTAGACAGTTTTTGTGGTCACATGGCCAGTGTGACTAGACATGGAATGCCGTTACCTTCCCACTGTGATGGTACCTATTCTCTACTCACATTTGCATGTTTTCGAACTGCTAGGTTGGCAGGAGCTGGGACAAGCGATGGGAGCTCACTCCGTCGCGTGGATTCGATCTTACAACTGCTGGTGTTCTGACCTTGCAGCACAAAGGCTTCTGCGGTTTAACCTGCATCGCCACCACGACCCTCTTATAGTAGAAGGACAGCTCCCAAAAGGAGTGCCGATCCTTCTAGATTTACATCAGCAGCATCAGAGGAAGATATTCCCTCCCTCCACTGCCAGGTAGGCACAAACCCTCTTATAGTAGAAGGGCAGTTCCCAAAAGGAGTGCTGATCCTTCTAGATTCACATCAGCAGCATCAGAAGATCTTCCCTCCCTCCACTGCCAGGTAGGCACAACTATTCCAACAAGTTGCCTCAGCCATTCCATCCACCTGAATCTAGCCACCGAACTTCACAAGTGCTATAAAATTCATTACACTCAGAACATTAAAAGCACTTGCTTTACTTTACTTTCATTAATAACTCTTTCTGCTTGTGTGTCATGTCTTAAATTTTAGATTGTAGAGCAGGGTAATCATTTCATTACCTATAGACCCTGCATTGTGAGCCACTTGACATCCTTCTTGCCCAAACGGTAGAATAGAAATGAAATCAATAAGGCATGAGATCTACTAGCATAATCCAAGGTGATCTGCAGGAGACTTGGAAAAGTTCCTTACTTCCAATTGTTTAATAATAGCCAAACCCCTGCCCTCTTAATTCATTCTTTATATTTCTATTCCACACAGTACCCCTTATTCCGTATCTGGTTCTGATAGACCTCATAGATCTGGTAAAAAAACTGCAGAGTAAATACTTTCATAACATTCTGCTCCACAGAAACAACAAAACTGCAACAGCATCACTAATAATCTTATAGCCTGCCAGTGGAATAAATAAATATTTTTCAGATTCTGGATTTTTTCTGAAAAGTCAGTCATACCCCAAGTCTACCATAAAACTCAACATTTACATAATGCATTTTAAGAGTTCAAGGCTCTTCAGATCTATTATGTAAGTAATCCTTACTATAACTCCATAAAAGTAGGACAATAAAACTCTCATCTGCAAATTGCAAATTAGAAGGGACAGAGACTGAAGGAGTAATGGTTCACCTAACACTATTCAATGCAAAGACAGGCAAGCTGGTGCCCTCCAGATGTTTTCAACTCCAGTTCCCATGGTCAAAGCTCAAGGATTCAGAACAGGGATGGGAAAATCTGTCAGTTTTAATTTCTTCTATATTCACATTTTTAAAAACGTCAAATAATCTCTTATGTTAAGTATTCCATCCTGAATAAGAAGAAGCTTTTGGATTTCAGTAAATTATTCAAAATGCAAGAGATATCAAATTCTTTTCCAAACAAAATTCTGTTTTGGATTGAATCCAGTGGGTACTTTATTCTCAGCATGGAGAGTACCACACCATGGTGCAGATGCACACCAGAAAATTAGTAACAATGGAAAGCTCCTTGGTAAAAAAAAACTAGCAGCTCTGATTTATCCCCTAATATTGATTGCATACGTGTTGATACTTTGATTTGGATTCCTGCATTGAGTAGGGGTTGGACTTGATGGCTTTATAGGCCCCTTCCAACTCAATTGTTCGATGTTTCTATGATCCAAATCCAGACTTTTAAAGCCGTCTAGGTAGAAGTATGTGCGTGTTCTTTGTCATCAGGTCAGAACCAACTTATAGCGACCCTAATAGGGCTTTCAAGGTAAGTGGGATATTTAAGGACGTGGTGGTGCTGTGGGCTAAACTGCAGAAGCCTGTGCTGCAGGGTCAGAAGACCAAGCAGTCGTAAGATCGAATCCACGCAATGGAGTGAGCTCCCGTCGCTTGTCCCAGCTCCTGCCAACCTAGCAGATCGAAAGCATGCAAATGCAAGTAAATAAATAGGGACCGCCTAGGCGGGAAGGTAACAGCGTTCCGTGTCTAAGTCGCACTGGCCATGTGACGACGGAAGATTGTCTTCGGACAAAACGCTGGCTCTATGGCTTGGAAACGGGGATGAGCACCGGCCCCTAGAGTCGAACACGACTGGACAAAAATTGTCAAGGGGAACCTTTATCTTTACCTTTTTCATAGCCCCTCTCCCCAATGACTTTCCATGGAAAAGTGGGGATTTGAACCCTGTTCTCCAGAGCCCACATCTATCATCCCATCCACTACACCACACTGGGAATACCTAGGTACAGATATAAATCCTTCTTTGTTTTCCCATGAATGAGACAATGTAAAAAAAATCTCATTGCCCAAAAACTTCTCCATTTTATTAGTCTTTGAGAGATTTTGTTTATTTTTTGCATATTTCTGAAAATATGCAAATCATACAAAAATATAGTAAATTATACCTTCTTGCTTCAGCCAGCAAATATAATAATAATGGATGGGTTGTTTGTTTGCTTTTGATCAATCAGCCTCTCTGTTTATGTTTACTGTGGTTTTGCACTGCTACATTATGTGCAAAATGAAGAAGACAGAATAGGAAAGAACTTGTCCAGTTCATGTGCTGGAGGCAAAAATCATTATGAATTATCAATACACTGCCTGGATATTAATTACAATGAGATAATAGCACCTTTTTCCCATTTAGGTGTCTACATTTTGTGTAAAATGTTTCTGCTCAAACCTATTGTCTTTTTCTTTTGTAAAATTAAGCATGTTCATTACACTCTCGATCTGATGGTCTGAACCCAGCTCTGAAATATTTTGATAGAGATAGAAATATCTGGATCAATAGATCAATTCATAGTTCAAATGAAGCTCACAGTCCAACCATTTCCTTTAAGAGAGAAACCAGCATCTTACGAACTATGTATCATTATTTAATTTTATGTAAACAACATATGTGCTATTAAATAATTTTGATACTGTGGTAACAACAGAATTAAAAAATATATCAAGTAAAAAAAATCTACACGAAGATGACACCAGCAGCAGATTACCACTAATTGAAGAGTCCCTATTTTGATTTCAGATTGCATGTGACTCACATACAATTAAATGTATTCACTCAAAACTGAAGCAGGAACCCTTTAATTAGCAGCAATTTGCTGCTGTGGTTATGTCATTCCCATTACACCAGCATAGCTACACAATTGGATTTTCCCGTTACCATGTTATTAAGTGACTTCAGAGAAATTAAAAACATGTGAAATTATGTAGTAATTCTTTGGAAATTCCAAAAAGTCTGTGTCTTTCCCTACCCCTTATTGAATTCTCAAAATGTGTATATAAGAATTAACACTATCTTGCTGCTTAATCTGTCACCAGTTCAAGTGATGAAGGCAGGTCTTTGGAACTTCCTTCAATACCTCTGCATATTATTTCATTTTCACTGCCCCCTACTGATGTAGTGATGTGCACACCATTAAATCCACATCTGCAGACTTCTTCACAATGGAATTTGTTGTTCATTTCATTCAGGCATTGCCTCACCTATTCCCATTCACTCCACAATTCAGCAAAGGGTCAGAAAAATTCCCCTTATCCCAATTTAGAAATATCTGCATTTGCTGTTCCTTCTCTCTGTGTTTGCTTCAGGTTTTTTTTGGGGGGGGGGAGCAGTTGGACTTGTATAAACTTTGGGATTCCTCTACATCCAGTGATGCTTCTTTCTTGTGCAGACAATTCTGTTTTGGTGACAGGAGAATATGTACTCATGGAAAGAGTATGCTGTTGGTATGCATGACATTTAGTATAGAAAACCCAGGAAATGTGTTTCAAAAAATAAGAGCATGTCATCTGTCTGTCTGTCTGTCTGTCTGTCTGTCTGTCTGTCTGTCTGTCTGTCTGTCTGTCTGTCTGTCTGTCTGTCTGTCTGTCTATCTATCTATCTATCTATCTATCTGGCACCACCACGGTTTTGAAGTATTTACCTCTTTGAGGCAGCCCATAAAGTTGTTGCTGATAGGAGAGCCAGGCAAGTCAGCTGTACTCGGGCTCCCGCCCACGTAGAAGAAGTCATCCGAGCCTAACATGGTATAGTCCTCTTGAGTGTAGCCTGTGGTGGTGAGGATTCCATCCACAGAAATTGTCACCTGTTTGAAGGGTGCAATGGACAAACAAAACAAAAAAAGGAAAAGAAAAACAAAATTCCCAGCAATGACCTTACAGTTCTTAAAAGAGCACATCAACTCCCCTACTTCTTAGTCCAACTACTTTTAGTACAAGTTTGGCTGAGCTTTGCGCATTTCCATTTTCTGGTCTGCCTTTACTTATTTCAAAGTTTCTGCCCCCTCACTTTAGTTCTTAAGTTAATTCAACCCTGCTACAGCCAAGGAGAGCTATTCTACCTGCCACAAAGGATTCTGCTTAATCAGGCCAGAAAATGGAGCGTACTTGGAAGAGAAAGTTTATCTAAGCTGATTTTATGATTTGTTAGTTGTTATTGGTAGTGATTATTGTTAGTTACAATTGTTAGTATAGGCACTAATGAAGACAAAGTTGATATATTTGATTTTGCTTTTTTTTTTTTTTTGCTTACAGCACACTGACGGTCATGCATTCAGGGAAGGGGGGAGGGAAGGGGGATCTCACTTCCAATACATTATGGATGAGCATGCTATGTACCTACAGAAAGACACTCCCACCACCCGGCACTGCAACTTAAAGAGAAAGAAGTAGAAAGTAAAATAATTTTAAAAAGAAAAGAAACACACACACACGCACACACGCAGACATATATATATATATGCATTCAATAATATAAACTCATATATATACGCATTCAATAATATCCAAAAATGAGCAAATGTGAGGAACAGAAGGTGAAACTGAGAGAAAGAGAAAAATGGCAATTGCACACACACACCCACATCCCACTTTGACACACCCATGCCAGTGATATTTTGGGCTCAGAAGAAAAGAATGGAAGCATGTCAGGAAGAGAGAAAGAGAGAAGGACCCACTTTTCACACTTGCATGCAGTCATTAAGAAAAATAAAGTAAAGCAGAAGCCGTAAAAATAATAATAATCCAAAACATAACAGAAAACAAAAACAAAAATAAAATATCCAAACCCCAAAACAAATGAAGGGTGAAGGGAGACGGAAGGGGAGCAAGGAGAGGAAGGTAGTGAAAATGATGTTCATCTGGTTTAAAGGTTATATTAATAGCTTGAAGAAGAGAAGGGGAGGGGAGAGACTGAGACTTATAGTATGGGAGGTTGGGAGAAGAGGTGGAATTTAACCAGATGAGGACATGCCATGCAGGGTGCGTATGTACTGAAACAAACAACCGGCTGAGCTCCTTTCGGCCATGGCAGGAGGACAGTGTAAGAAAGAGAGAGAGAGAGAGAGAGAGAAAGAGGAGGGGGAGAGAAGCATATGTGGGAGGCTGGCAGGGGAGTCAGAATGAAATGAGGAAGAGGAGAGCTCTGACCAGTTTTGCCTACAACAGCTGTTGTCACAACAAAAGGATGAGGGGAAAAAGACTGGCCTCACCACAACAAACTATAAGCCCTGACATGGTTGTTGAGCTAAAAACCTTCGGAGAGTCCAAATAAACAAGAGGCTAAAAGAGAAAGGATGAAAGAAAACAAACCAGAAGAAGAGAGAAGATTTAGCAAGACACTGAAAAAAGGTTTTTCAAAAAATGCTTTAGAAAAAAAAATAGATAAACTGGAGAAGCCAATGAAGGAGATGATCAAACCCCATTTCCAGAACTGTTGTATTTGTTTGTTTGCTTCTTGGGTTTTTTTTTTTTCTTGAAAAAAATTTAAAAATACAAAAGAAACAGGAAGAAAAGGTACAGCAAAATCAAAGATAAATCAAAACAGGGAGACAAAATTTAAAAGGAGAGGAAAATAGGGTGGAGGGGATGGAGAGGTAAAGGCAGGTAACACACGGCAAACCCAAAGAAAGAGACAATAAGAATGATATCTACCAGACAATGTAGTTTGTTTACCATAGCGTGTCCAATGCCTGAGTGCTTTGCGGAAAAGGGGGAAGAAAGGAAATTAAAAACTTGTGAACAGAACGATTGTTAATTAAAATAACTAAAAGCAAAGATGAGTCGTTAGGGTGTTAGTACATTAGTTGGTTAGTAAAAATGACACATTGCATGAATGGTCTAGTGTTAGTCTTTCAAAAAAGGCGTGGGGCGCCCGACACACACAGAGTGAGAAAGAGGACAATATGAGCAGGACTGTCTGGGAAAACCATGCCATATAGATTGTTAGGAGGAAGGGAGCTGCCTACCCTTCCCATTCTCCTCAACCTGTCTCCTGCCCCTCCCACCCTAAGCAACGTTATTTACATTCCCACCCCAAGACTGGACTAAAATGAAAGATAAGCAATACTTACTTTCCAAAAGCCATTCAAAAACGTAAAACCCATCCATACCTCTCCACCCCATATAATAAATGTATACCATCATGAAATACTTCAAATATATTCCACCCCATAGCCCAACCCATTTCTGTGTCCTTTTAGATATACCCATCATTGCTCCCCTCAGGTGCGCCTCAGTTATTCTAACCAACCAAATGTATATCTTGGGTGTAGACAATTGCTTGATGATTCCCCGAGGGCTTGTCCTACCCCAATTTCGAGATTTCTCTTTCAAGCAGTTGGACTGGTGTCTCTCCGAAAAGACATACAGAATATGAACAATTGGACTAATGGAGACAATGTGTAGCTCACCTGTGATGCTCAGGAAGGTGGGGAGAAAGTTGCCTAACTGCGGAAGGCATGATGGCTGCTTGCGTCAGGTATTTGGGGATGAAGGAGGATGACTGACAAAATTTAAAATCACTTTTGAGGTGGGGAAAGTCTATCTCTGTTGTTCATTGGCAGAATTAACGAACTAGACTGTAGAGACCAAGCCTCTACCAAGTATGCTATTAATTAACTATGAATGACACATATCAACTTACAATTTAAAAATTGTGGCCTTTTAATTGCTTCTAGCCTGCAATTTTTGTTTGCAAACTTTTTCAGTTTTGTTTGAAGGTGCTTCAAAGTTTTGAATGTTTTTGTTTTGGTTTAAGAGAGAAAACTCTTAGGTCTAGTAAAATCTCCTCTGTTTTGAACAAAGATACTGAAAAATTAAAAATGGGCATAAAGCCCACATATACGTATTTTATATCCCAGTATTCAGCACTGTATCAAATTACTTGAACTGGGTCACTCTGTGTTTTTTTTCTCCCTTCTATTTCTCGTTCTATGAAAGAGTTTTTTTAAAAAAAAACGGTTTAAACAGCATTGTTAAGAAGTGTTACTCAACATGCAAAATCCTACAGTAGTTTGTAGATTTCAGATAGGTCTATTCTCTAATGCTAAGCATATACAGGAGTTTTACTGAAAGCTCTGAAGTATGGAAAACGTGTTACTGAACATGTTGTCTATCCTCATCTTACCATTCGCTCTGGCAAAGAGATTTTGCAAGGATTTGAAGGCCCACCAAATCTGTTTGCCCAGAACCAAATGTGTCTCCAGTCTGAAAATTCAATGAAAACATCAGACTAGGTCCATTAGTTGCAAATGGACTCAAACATGTTTTCAAATTAAAGGGAAGGGAACTGTTTTTGTTCCAGGGGGTGGCCTCCCTTTGAGACCATGCCAAGCAGGCCAAATGATTTAATAGGGAAAACCCTGAGCCCCACCTTGTTTGTGATGTCCCTGCCAAAAAAACAATTTCTCTTCTCTGTCTAGAGAAAAGCACAGCATTCCATGTTCTTTTTTCCATGAAGAACATTCTTGTTACTTGTAGGCTTCGACTGGAAACAACAAAGCCATTGTCACTCACATCATTTCTGTTACAAAAAGGGAATTAAAGCATGGGCACACTGAAGTCCTATGGTTTTTTTTTTCTAATCTGATGTCAGAGACAGAAGTAGAATTTGTCTTCAATTTGCTTCCATTCCTTGCTTGAGAACATGGAAAGTGTGAGGTGGGGAAGGAATGCTACTTCCTCACAATCAATGAATCTTACTTGATTACAGGTAAAACTGGGAACTCTTCCCCACTTTTCCCATTGGGAATGTATATGGGATGCAGCAGAGGAAGAATGCTGCTATTAGCTCACCTCTGATCAGAAAAAAAAACCCAGTGAGATTCCACTTGCTTTTTTAGTGCTTCTCAGCTAGAAGTCAAACAATGTAGCTAACTTCATGGATGAGTAGCTTCTGGACCTTTCTTGAGTTGGATCTACAGTACAGTATATCCATAATGCCAATGAGATCAACCATTATTTCCAGCTTATTGCTTTTATTAATTTTATTCTAATTTCTATTACTGCTGTTAACCACCTTGAGCACCATGTGGTGGAAAAACAGAATATAAATCCCAGCCATACTTGTTTAGAACAGCAACAGTATTACTGGAATATGATAATACCATGTGCTTTCATAATCAGAAAGAGAAAAAAAAGGAAAACACATGTTATTATCATATTCCAGTAATACTGTTGCTGTTCTAAACAAGTATGGCTTGTTTAGAACAAGTATCCTCTGGCCACGTCCTGAAATGCATTCAGAAACATTCCTTAACTTTCATATGATAAATGGAGGAAAGGTGCAGTGGAGCAAACAAGTTGCCAAAGATTCTGAAGTTAGTGGAACACATCCCAGTTCTGTGCTTTCCTGTTCTGCCTATTTAGATATTATCTTGGGGCATGAAGACAGAACAATCTTTTCTCCAACCCTTTTTCTGAAAGTGCTGGTGAAATATATCAGTAAGTCCACTATTACCTCTAAAAATGCCTTGTAATTTTCTAAGACAAAATATTTTTATTTAAATGACAACGGTCAACTTTGATATGAGCAGTAACGACTTAAGTAAAATCAAACACTAAATGGGTTAACTGAACACCATTGTATGCAGAGTAGAAACACACTGTGAGATTCCTACTGGCCTCAGGCCTCAGATGCAAGAATAATAAGCTTGTGTGTTTCCACACTCACATCACCCTGCACAGAAAGGACAGGGCTAACAAAATTCCTGATGTACTGATTTTCAGTATGTCAGGCTGGCTAAATAGCTCAGTGAATTAGGTATCTGGATGTAGAACCAGAGGTTGGGAGTTCAATTCCCTACTGTGCCTCCTGAGAGAAGAGCCAGCCTATGCGCCTTTGGTCAAGCCCTCAGCTCCAGGATGGCCCCAGAAGTATTCTGAGAATTTTCTACCTGGAAAGCCATGAGTCGGAACTGACTTGACAACACACAGTTATTACTATTATGTGATGTAGGAGTGTCTGCCCATGGATAAAGATGATGGGGGACTTGTTCCAAAATGTATGGGGTTGGGGTGCCTCTCTGCCCTGTTCACAAGCCACCTATGGTGTCAGATACTTCTTTCATGCAGCAGTAGTGGTTTTCCACCTGAGCACCTGAGATCTGAAAACTGTGCCATATAGTTGTGTGTGTAATATTAGGTATATGCCTTTGTCTAGCAAGGAGAAAGAAAAACAAAACAAAACTGTTCACCTCCATTTATAATACTAATCATTTTTGTCCTCTGTCCCTCAATTTTAAACGGCAGTTTCTGGCATGCCAGGAAAACTAAATTTCCTATGGACATTTCCTGTCATTAAGGACTGGTTCTTGGCCCTTCCCAGAAAAATAACATACTCCATTAACCAAAACTGTCGATGAAGCAGAGAGAAAATTTCAGAAAGTAACTCCTCTGAAAATGTTTTTTTTTTTAAATGAATAAATGAAGTAGTATTTTAAAATTCTATTTTGAGGCTGACAGTCATTTACTGGACTGATGAGAATATCTGAATGAAATGGGGTCATTAGGACCATCCACTGCATGAAGAATGAAATTGACATCTGTCCATGACTTAATGGAAATACCATCACAACTTTATAATCTGTTGTCACTGTGAGCAGAATTTAGCTGGATGCTATGCCATCATTCCACTTATGCACAGTTACAATATGTTAAGAAACTGGGGAATATGGAACCTGGAATCCCCTCTTGACAGCTCAGGCTTCTCTGTGTGTGCCTGAGAGAACGGCTGGGAGTTGAAAGAGTCATGTCTGTTTGGTAAGAAGGAGAAGGTATCACCTGCAGTTTATCTCTTGGGAAGGAAGCCTTAAAGGCCAGATTGCCTGGTTCCCTGCTGCCATCCTAATTAGGAGATGACTTCATCTGTGTGAGAGAAGAGGCAGGCAGAAAGTACTTTTGTCTTCTTGAACATTCAAGAGAACTCAATGTCTGATTGGTGGTTCATCTGGAAGGGTTTAGAGCAGGACATAAAAAGATAAGAGCTCAGAAGTTACTTTTATTGACTCAACTCGTAAGAGATGTGATGTTCAGTTGCTGTCCTGTGTATTGTTGATGGTGATGCACTCTGTGCATGCCTCAGAACCATGGTATTATCTGTACTAACCTATGAGTATTAGGTAGAAAAATTTGTGCTGCCCTACCACCCTGAACATGCTAAAGGTAAACACAATCAGGTCTAGTTAGTACATGGAGGGGAGACCACCCAGGAATACTGGGAGCATTTTTAGTGCTTCAAAATAATGCTTGAAACCCTGGTCTGCTGGTGACATGCAGAGTTGACAAATACTGGGCTAAATGGACCAATGGAGTAACTTATACAGCAGCCTCCTTGGCTCTGTGAGATGTTAAGTGTAAGAATGCTAATGCCGGGAGGGGGCCCGAAGGGATCCCCCAGGAGGCATTGCCTTTGCCAGCCTCCCGGAGGCTACGTGAGGCTACGAGGCTCACCCGAGAACAGACGAGGGGCGCGGGCCGAGCAGGGCATATTTAAATGGGGGAGCCACATTGGTTGCCCCTCTTTCTTTGTTGTGAGCGGTATCCCACCTACCCGCCCTATATGCTAATGTGAGATTAGCTGGTCGCCCTTTGTTGGGGGCCGGATAGGAATTTTTGACCCACCTCCTGATTGGCAGGTGGAGGTGGGGATTTTTTGCCTATCCCACACTGGATTAGGAGCATTGGCTTTAGTAAGGGCGGTGGATGCACTCTGTGAACGCCTCAGAACCATGGTATTGTCTGTACGGATTCGAATGGCATTTGAACTTGGATTATATGTTAATGGCAGAAAACGGTATTAGAATTTGGTTATGCGGGGCAGGTAGTGCGGATTCGAACAGCATTGGAACTTGGATTATATGTTAATAGCAGAAAATGGTGGCGCGTCTCAACTCGCACACTGCCGATCAGGCGATCTCAGTGCTGGGAAGGTGGGATGCACTGGGGGGACACCCGGACCCACGGTCGGCCCAGAGATAGGGATAGAGGGTCTGGGAACATGGAGGCTGATAGTTATCCCATGGTAAAGATGAAGGGGATATCTGAGGCCGGAGCGCAGCCAGCTGGCTGTTAAATGGTCACATGATAATCAAGAGCTAACCTGAATCTGCACTACAGCAGGACCCCCCTTTTGCCAAAGGAGTGGCAATGTTTATGAAAATGGAATGGACTTCAATAAAGCGTGGCCCATGTTTTACCCATATACCTGGTCTCGCGTGGTTATTCCGGGTAGGACGGCAATATCATAAGGAAAAACTGAGAAGAACTTGAGGTAGAACTGTCTAAGTCTTGAGGAAGAACTGTCTAAGTCTATGAATCATAAGCAGGAGGGCTATCAGATCAGGGTGGCCAGCAATCCCCTAAGATAAAATTGTATTGCTCTGGATGGCAGGTATATTGAAGAATTTCTTGCTATCTGCCTCTGTAAAATAATATATCAGATGGATGTCTCAACTGTTGTTTTGGGGCAAGAAATCTAAGAAATCATTGCATGCTAAAATTGCAGTATGCATTATTTGTGTCTGTCTGTCTATCGATCGATCTATTGTGGGGGTGAAATTGGTATGGGGGAGAATTCTGCATTAGCAAGACAGGATCCTAGATTAGTAGCACTGTATTCTTATATGCAGTGAAAAAATCAGGAGGTCCTTCTCATAAATCTTTAGCACTAAACAACTAGCAGGAGACTAGTATAAACAAATCTAATGAAAAGGCTGCAAAGGTTATTAAGAATCTACACATCAGTGAGTCAAATTTTGGTGCTGGGGGAACTGGGAGAGAATACAGTTAAAAGAAGTAAAACAAAAACTTACTGACAAATTGTACCTATTAGGCAGAAGGCATCAGTGAAGCTACAAAATGAAATGTCATCTGAAAATTAAACTTAACAATGTTTTGGATGGCTCTTCAGTAATTTGAAACATTTCTCTTTTGTCCTGTGATGGTTTTATGAATGCACCAACTGGGGATATCACCCTGGTACAGCAAAGTAGGTTTGCACTATAATGCTAGCAGCGTTACAAAATGAGCTACAGAGGCATTGCACAATATAGCCTTATGCTGATGCAGAATGGAATCCAGTCATGGTCAAATTGCAGAGATAGCCAGCATTTCTGCCACCACAAGACTCCAGCATAACTTCGTAGTGCAGCAATTTCATCTATAGCTGTTAGCCAATTCTGAATATGCCAATGGTGGCCAAGAAAAAAAGGGGGGGGTCTACAAGTAGGAGTTGGCTTGATTCTCAGTTCTGCATCATCAGAAATCAGACTCAGTTTAGCTATTAGTGTATCCAAAAGGAAAGAATGCCAGTCATCCACAGATATGGGAGAAAATAAGTGGCCGGACTTCATAATGGCACAGATGTGTTTTCATCTTCTCACAGTAATCTTGGTGTTGTAAGTAGCACAGTTTTTATGTAAGAAATCTAAAAACAAAGATAACTATTTTTCCCAAAAGTACATAGGGTTGTTTCTGTAATTTCCTGCCGTGAAGTGCAGTGGAAAAAAGGAAACCAACTGGCCTGAACAACAGAAGACTGGGAGTTGAAATGGCAGCCATCTTTAAATACTACAAGGACAAGGAGGATGGGGTAATTAACAGAGCAATTTTGTTTTCTGCTGCTCCAGTTGGGTGGGGTCCAAAACATAGAAAGGAGGACCAAACTAAACAATGTGAAGAACTTTCCTGATGGAAAGAGCAGATCATCAGTGGAACAGACTGTCTCAGGAGGTGGTGGGCTCTTTGACAGTCATTTGATTGCCATCTTTGGGGGATGTTTTACTTGTGGATTTCCTGCATTATCAGGGTATGGACCAGATGTGTCTTCAGAATCCTTCCAGCTCTGTAATTCTATGATTCTGTAACAGAAGGCAGGATTGTTTAAACGTCTAGTTTACATGCTCAATGAATTCATTTTAAATCTCAGCATCTCTCAAATTCTTAGCAATATGGGGAATGGATGAAAAAGAGATGTGGAAGCTCTTTCTTTTCCTGTGTTTAAGCTAAAGCTGCTTTTGTGAGTGCTGCGTCAAACATTTCTGACAGAAGAATTTCAACCATTCTGATTCAGTTTGAGAGAATAGACTTTGCCTTGGAAAAGAATTATTTAAAAAAAAAAATAGGAAAAACTTCAGAGAAATTTCCATTGGTGAAGTTCAGGATTATTTTGCTCACCTGACTTGTATGTGGTTTGTCTTCCATTGTACCATTGTCTTTGTGACAGTGCTGTAAGGCAACTCTTTCAATTGGGCTTTTTCTTAGAGTAATAAAGATATGGGTGATCGGTGTCACGCCACCCACAAGCCACTTTGCCCATCTTTGTTCTAATAGATCTGGCACAGCTATTGGGCAAGTCACATTTTCCATCCACTATGAACATTCTTTGAAGTATATTCGCGAAGGCTTTCACGGCCGGGATCTAATGATTGTTGTGGGTTTTTCGGGCTCTTTGGCCGTGTTCTGAAGGTTGTTCTTCCTAACGTTTCACCAGTCTCTGTGGCCGGCAACTTCAGAGGACAGCAACTGAATATGCCGGCCACAGAGACTGGCGAAACGTTAGGAAGAACAACCTTCAGAACATGGCCAAAGAGCCTGAAAAACCCGGAACAACCATTCTTTGAAGTCTTGATATTTTATTTCCAATTGATTATGTTTTTTAAAAAAGGTAGTTCAGAAAAGGGAGGTTTCATAGACATTTATATTTTTTTGGTTATGTTATGCATTTGCAGGGTTTTTTTTCTTTTAGAAAGAGAATACTGCTCTTTATGCACTACAGTGAGAAAAGTAAACGAGCATTATTGACTGCTTATCCAGAAACATATGTCATATGCAATTTACTTAGATCATTCTAAGTATATATCAAGAACTATAAATAGATTTTACAGTTATTATTTTAAAAAGTGAACCATCCTAGTACCTACAAGTGTAATGTTTCAGGGGAAACTCAATTGCTGATTTTGTTTAAGGACCACTGATACAGGGAAGCTCTTGAAGATGAACGTAATTATACAAGGAAATGCCCATAGGGAAAAAAGATTTTCCTGGCCCTCAACTGTGATTAGTTAACATCCTTAGGCATGAGGATTATTATTTTCTATTAGTACAACATTCCCCAAAGGCAGTTTTTTTTCCAGCTTGCAAAGTTGCATACAGTGATTGGTGTTAACATTCATATGAGCAAACAAAATAAATAGTTATATTTTGCTTACATCTACAGGAATGGGTTGGAAAGCCTGTAATTTAAAAAAAAAAAACAGAACTTTGAAGTATTACTTTAAAAGAATCTCAGCTTACAGGCTATTTACACAGCATTTACCAATCAATAAGACTCCCAAACAGTTTACACACACAATATAAAGCTCATTAGTCATGCTGCAGATGGACCCAAGTGGCTTGATATATTTCACCAGCTTTCAGAAGCAAGGTTATTTAAATTTATCTTACCTATTAAAAGTTCATATTTATATTTTATGAGGAGAGGGAGAGAGAGATTGGCTTCAATATTTTAAGTCTGGTGCGTAAGTGAGCGTTATCACCTTATGAAACTGTGCCTAAAGAAGTCGGAACTACAAGATGGCAAAATTAAATATTAGGAGGGGAGAGGGAGCTCTTCTAAGGTAACCTTGCTTAGTGGGTTGTTTCTTTTCTGAAGTCCTCACAGGGCAAAGTGGACAGAGACAAAAGCAGCAGCAGTGTAGATTCGTAACGAAAACCAAAGCAAAGAAATAAGGAGATCTGGAAAAAGTACGGCCAGTTAAATGTCAGGAGCATAAGATCAAAGTAACTCACACACAAAAGAAAAAAAGAGGGGAAAAAGGCAGGAGTAAAGACTACTATCGGCCCGATCCAATAAAATATCTCCCGCACAAACCTTGTTCAAAATACTCTTGCTCAGGAGACATTCATTGCTAATGGTTTGCAGGAGAGAACATCCAAGTGGATGGGGCCCCTTACAGAATTAGAGTAATGACATCATGGAAATGGTTAAATCAATTAACAGGACATAAAGGAGAAAAAAAGGGAGCGGATAAAGCAGCAGCAGAAAATAGTCTCCATTCCTACTGTAATTAAATGCAACAAGAATATTACTGATAAGATTGAAATGTAATTAAAGAAATAATAAAAAGAAAGAAAGGGAGGGGAAAGAGCAAAGGAAAAGGAGATGAAAGTAAAGTTAAGATACAAAATTGTATTGTTAAATCAAATCAGGGAAGGGGGAAAATACAGAAAATTATTAAGTAGAAATTAAGATATTGCAATGAAGCTACATCGTAGTAAATTAATGTGCACTTGTTTTCCTTCCAGTTATTGTGCAAGGTTAGGGGAAATTGTTTCAGCACTGCCAACCCCAGGTTCCTCTGTGTCTGACAGCTGCCTTGTAACTTGCCTTCTACCCCAACTTTGATTGACTAGAAAGGAGCCATCCCAGCATTCTTGCTCTTTCCCCATTACCTGCCGCAGGTTGCGTGTCACTTTAACGTCGTGCCACTGGTTGTCATTAAATTTGCCACTGACTGGCTCCACAATGGCCTCAAAGGCTCCGGACCCCAGGTTAATGATCAACGAGACTGCGCCATCTTTCAGAGCCAGGTTGACATAATCGGCCGACTTGCCCGTGTGCAGGATAAGCCCGTTGCGCTGCCACGTCTTGAAGGAGAGGGTGATCTCATCACTGCTGCTTTGAATGGGATTCTGGGAGAGGTCATAGCAAAGGTATTCAGAACCACGGAAGGTGGCCACGTTCTCGTCTCTTGCTGCAGAAAGACAAAAAGAAAGATGCAGAGATCTGATCAATCCTGCCCCATTTAGTTCTTGAACTCTTTCATAACTCTTCCAGTATAATTCTTGGTTGCCTTAACCAACACATCTGTTGACCGTCCAACACTGTAAAGACAAAGGTCTGCATGAAATGCCCATTTCAGATATGCAGGAAAGTGCCTTTAGCCAAGTCAGACCCCTTACCCATCAGTGAGAGATATGGGTAGCCTTGCCAGACCTTGGGAAGGGGAATGTTTTTCCCCCCAGTCCTCTCTGCAGACCACACAAAGTCCAGAAATGGCTACACAGACACTTCTCTTTGTGTTTTCTTATAAGCATTAAGAAGGGCCTTAGAATCCCCCAAGGTCCAGTCCAAAAACCAGGAGCAGAAACAGGACATTTTGGAGTCCTTCTTTTTAAATGAGTTTGTTGAGCCTCAAAAATGCCCAGTGGGATGCATGCTATCCAGTCCAATCCATAAACTGAAGAGGGGCTGCCATTGGTTAAGGCAGATAAGGGCCAAAGGCAATTAGAAGAAGGTAAAGGACAAAAACATGAAACATGTATACAATCACTACCTAAAGTTTTTTCTAAGTGTATGGTTCATCTCCCCACCAGTGTCAAGTCCTAGCCTAAGAAGTAAATCTTGGACTTCTTACAAACACAAGGAATGTGACGACAGACCGGGGATGGATTGCTGTACTCCTCAATATATTCTTGAACTGCAAGTATCAACCCTCCAGCATTGGTAGGGTTAGGGCTGATGGAGATTGTAGGCTAAGACATCGGGAAGACCACAGTTGCCCATTAGACCAAGGGAGGGGAGTTTTTTTGTGACCACTAGAGCAAGGTGAGGAAACTTTCTGAGTCTGTTGATAAGCACTCTGTGTTGGATTTTGCTTGTGAATGTGGCAGAAGTGGCAATAGCAAAGGGTTAAAAACATTCTTACTAGAGATGAACATGAATGAAAATATGAATTTGTTTAAATTTGTTCAAAACTCACTGATTTGTCAGTTTTTATTTTTACAAATCAATGCCTCCAACAAATACAAGTCAATGATTTTTTTGCAATTTTTGATTTTTCAATTTGTTTTGGCTATGAAATGGCCACCCCCAGGCACCCAAAGACACCAAAAAAAGAAAGGTGGGAAGCTTCCTCTACAATCCCTCCATGTTTGGTGAAGATTGGATTTCCCCTAGTTAGCTGCTAAAGGACACTTTCCTGGGGGACCCACTTTGTGGGTGTAAACTTGATTGTATGAAACCCAGTCTTCAACAAATGTGGCAAGATTATAAAGGAGAGTTAGCGGAAGTTTCTCTATGATTTTAGTGTCTCTAGTGCTGTATAGGGCTTATTTATTTATTTATTTTATATCCCACCTATCTGGTCTTGCGACCACTCTAGGCGGTTTCCAAATACATAAAACAACATGTAAATATAACAAAAAAGAAATTATTACATCAAATAACAAATTCTTCAAGATGAAAAAGGGAAAACAAAAAGTAAACAAAGAAGAGAAGATCAAATATTAACTGGAGGGAAGGCCTGTGTAAACATCTAGGTTTTTAATTGGTTTTTAAAGATATCCAGCGAAGGAGCCACATGGATCTCTGGAGGAAGGTTGTTCCAGAGGCGAGGAGCTACCGCCGAGAAGGCCCGGTTTCTTGTTTTTTCCTTCTGGGCCTCCCTCGGCGTCAAGCTCCTCAGCCTCACCTCCTGACTCGCTTGGCTGATACAGGTAGATCTTGGTGGGAGTAGGCGTTCCGCCAAGTATAGAGGCCCTAAACCATTTAGGGCTTTATATGTAAGCATTAAGACTTTGAAGTCAATGCAGAACCAAATGGGCAGCCAGTGCAATGTGGCCAGAATAGGAGAAATATGATGGTATTTTCTCATTCCACTAAGGAGTTTGGCCGCCGCATTCTGCACCACTTGGAGTTTCCACATCAACCTCAAAGGTAGCCCCGCATAGAGCACATTACAATGGTCTAATCTTGAGATTATGAGCACATGTACCAAGGTAGAGAGCGCCCCTGTGTCGAGATAGGGTCGCAACCGGGCTATCCACCAAAGATGGAAAAAGGCGGTACGGACCACCAACGCCACCTGAGTTTCCATGGTGCGAACCCCACTCTTTGCGGTAAGGGTCACCCCCCCAAACGAGAGAGAGTTACCCAAACTGCCAACAGAGGGGGCACCCATCCTCAGGACCTTTGTCTTGTCCTGGTTCAGCCCCAGCCCATTTTCCTGCATCCATTGCAGTACAGTCCCCAGGCAGTGCTGGAGGCACAGAACAGCATATCCTGCAATTGGTGGAAAGGAGATGTAGAGCTGGGTGTCATCAGCATATTGATGACACGATGCCTTACACCCCCTGATGACCCCACCCAGCAGCCTCATATAGCTATTAAACAGCATTGGGGAGATGATCGAGCCCTGCGGAACCCCACAACTGAGGGTCCATGGGGCCGATAACCTTGCCCCAAGCTGTACTCTCTGAGGACGGTCCCCGAGGAAGGATCAGAGCCATGCAAGTGCATGGCCACCAATTCCCAACTCGGAGAGCCTCCCCAGGAGGATACTGTGGTCGACGGTATCAAAAGCCACCGAGATGTCAAGGAGAACCAACAGAATCCATAAATTCATAATTTGCTGACCTTGCTGAACCACGAATCAAAATGAATCACTATTTTTCTGATTCATTACCACGTCTAATTTTTCTCTCTGTGTCTCTCTTTCTCTGTGTCTCTCTCTTTCTCTAATACAAAAATCGCTGAAAATCTCTGATTTTTACACTGTACAGCCAGATTCCCAAACTGACTGTGTTTTGAAGGCCTCCAAAAGGCTTTCAAGAAATACAAGGATCATGGAAGACTTCAAGAAGGAGCTTCAAAGCAGATGAATATTTCAGGAATGGACCAAACCTTGAAACATTTTGTTTACACATTATTAGTTATTAATTTTTAAACAGTAAGACTTAACATTATTTAAATGTGCTGCTTTAGTATCATGTTACTAACATTTCAAAGAGGTAGACGCATTAACCAGTTTCAGCATGTATAACAACAAGAATGAAGTACTGTGGAATCTTAGACTAACACATGTCAGGGTGAGTTTTTGTGGGTTACAATCCCCTTCCACAATCAGACACAGATATGTCTCAGGAATGGAACTGCAAGTTCACACTGAAGTAAATCTGTTAGTCTTTAGGGTAGCACAGTACTTTCTGTTTTTATTTTAGTTATACATATTATTTACAGTTTATTTTTCAGATACTTTAGCACTACTGTTAATGCTTTTAGAACACTTTAAAAAACAAAACAAAATTGACAAAACTCCTCCTAAAAGAGTTCCCCAGCAATATTTCAGGCATATTGAGTAAGCATCTGTCACACTAAAAAGGAATTCATTCCCTTACCAGTTATTACACTATTTTATTTTACTTCCATTTTTTTTTTAAAAAAAAAACTTCATTATGCCTTGTTACTCCTCAAATGATATGTTGCAAGGTACATCACCAGTGGTAATACAAACTTTGGGAAGGAGAAATTATGGGGTAGGCACAATCAAACTTGCAACTAGGCTGAGGCAAGTGGGACTTTGACCCAAAATGCTGAAATGTAGTGAGAATAAAAATTGGCTGCCAGATGGTGTCTGAACTGGCCCATTGATCTTGACTGCTGGATGGATGCAAACCTACCCATCCCAAACACGAATACAGTATTGCCACCAGACCCGTCTTTCCAGGTAGAAGGAAACACAAAACAGCTGATTCAGTGCAGGACCTGTATGGTCACTGTGTACTCACACCCAGGTATTCCTTCCCATTTGTCCATCTTTTTTCCATATACGTCACTCTCTTGTGGCCTAAGCTTAACCAACAGAGCAGTAAACCTCTAGGCATCAAAACTTAGTTACAGCTCTGGCTATCTTAAATGATTTCCAATCTTCCACCTATGTGATAAAACATGCAGACACACCACAATGAGCCTCCAGTCACATTGTTCACAATGTATTCTACAAAATCTTTTGCTTAGTGTTTACTATACTGTATATTTGAGAGAATGAATGACCAGTGAACAAATGGACAAGGGAGGAACATTCAACTAAACTACTGTACTTTGGCAAACTTATCAGAAAGTTAACATACAAATTAACCCAGACCTCCAAAAATCAACAGATGAAACTAGCGTATACTGTATCTTAGCTCCTTTCCCATGCACAGTCTCCTTCAGGGATATTAGTTCTTCACTTAACCATCAAACACTGTATGGTAAGGGAGGAAGATTTATCAGGGCTAGTTTTACTGTGAAGTTGGCATTGTCTACAGAATCGTCTGACAGATAACTTAATGTGACTAATTAACTGCTTTTGACAAATTGCTCTTTAGCCACTAGGGTTTTTTCAGTTTGACTAATAACTAATAATTATCCTGACGGATTTCTCCGTGGTTTTCACTCATTAGTAAAGCAGCATAAAGCTAAAGATGTCCATGTTACATTATAGAGTAAGATTGCATGGAGGAGGGACGCCAGTTCAAATGATGGGAAACATACTTTCTGCCAGTAGCCCAGGACCATGTTTGGGACCAGACATATAGGGCAAGAGATACACCCAGTTGTAATAAATCTTGCACAGCAGTACCCACTCAGCTCAATGCCATGGGCTTGATCTAGACTAGTTAGTTACAACTTAAGTCCATCTGAGTTCAGTAAGCACTAAATAACTATGTTGACCCTCCCCCCCCCCGTTTTTTCCTACCCTGAAGCCTGCAAATGACTTAGTAAGCAGTTCAAAGCAGTTGAACTTGGGCACTGCTCTCTGAAAGATTTTTAAGAGTTTGTCTATGCTGTCTTTGATTTTGCTTGATAATTATTTGTAAAACCACACAGCCCTATCCTATCATAGATAATCCATTAAACACAACATTCTCTGAACTGGTCTCATCATTGTTAGAAGTGATTAGTGCTTACATACACATCACTCAGTAAAAC